AAAAAGTCATTTGACCCCCCAAAGGGGTCATGACTCACAGATTGAGAACCACTGATCTAGAGTAACCCTCAGCCTAGATTAAAGTCCTACTGTCTTTTTTTTAATTCTATAAGTTATTTCATACCATAAATAGCATAGAGATAATAACATTCTGAGACATTCCAATCATGAAGTGAGTTCATGTATAAATATGTAAAGTGCTGTACCTTACTTATTAGAGGTACTTTGCCACTGCAAATTTGACTTGCTTCTCATTTTTTCGGAGGTTTCAGATTGACTGTTGAATTATTAACAAAATAGGTTAAAGATTTATTATCTTCTTCCTAGGCTTGTTTAGTCCACTAAACAGACTTTAGTACACAGTCTAAAGGAAGAGTCTTTAGTCCTCAATGCAGTTAGATTCTTCCTTATATCTTCTCAAAGGGTTTGGAGTGCTCATGAATAAAATGAAGGAGAGTAGATAGAAGAAAAAGAGGGGAATGAAGGTGTTCATAGCAGAAGGACACAAGAGCCAGTATATGTCCAGACAACATGATGCAGATCTGGTTTGAGTCAGCAAAACATGATTGACACTGGACACTGGAGCTATTAGTCATTGCAAAATGGCTGATACTGGATATTTTAAGGAACCCCAAATTAAACAGTGATGTCATCTATTTTGTAATTATTTTTGGCAAAGTGCCACTTTGTGTAGACCTGTATTAATATGACCGTCCAGGTCACAGGTGGCATTGTTTGCGTGAGCCTCTACTTTCAACATCCTGCTTGTGTGTATCATGCCAGTCTGTGTGCAGCCTATGTTCCTAGGTGCCCATCAGTGGCTGCCTGCCTAGTGAGCTGGTGAAGAAGGTACATCTCGTCTACCTGCCTCTTCTTGAATCTTCTTCAACTTCCTGGCCTCCCACACCACCCTCCTTTCCTGGGATCAGAGCATGACTCGCAGATAGGGACAGGAGTTCTATCTCCTCAAGTTTGCTCAATGCAGCACTCTATAGTATTCAGTATCTGCTGTTTCACTTCAGGGTCACATGGCTGCCTGGAAGCTGTGACTCACAGCCACTGCTCCAACCTATGGAGAGTAGTTCATTGCACATCACTATCCAGAACAACTAAATCCACAATTCAAAGCATAGTATCCCTGAAATGCTGACCACAGTTGCACCATGCATAAATCAGACACTACTAAGATGAGGCACTGTGTGTTAGCCCATCCTCCAAATTTGAGCACAAAATCTTGTCAATATTTGGAATGGCTTTGTTTCGGGTACCTAGATACTCTCTCTCTTTCCTCACGTAAGCACTGTCTCCAGTTGTCTTGTGACATTAAGCTCTACTGACATGGGTTTCTCATTTTTCTCATTGATCTGTGAGCTCAGAAACCCCAGTGTAAAATTCAACACAAACTTGGGCCTTGGACGTTGTACATCATTGCTAAAAGAGAAGGTTCAAATGACACATTAATTCTGCTTAAAAACCACAAGATGATAATTATCCTGTGATTTTTGAAGAGTTGTCACATGCCATGAGCTTTCTGACTCTGCTTCAGTAAGCATCACAGAATTCTGATTTGTGCTACCTCACATGCTATAAATATATGTGATTATTTCCACTTGTAACATTTACTGGGATGGGAAAGTGCTTGTCAGTGTTTATAAGCCCTGTGTATCTTTCTCTATTAGACATGTTTGTTCGAGGACAGAAATTGATTTCATTAATAATAACCAAGAATATATTTGAATATGTCTGCATTTTAATAACAATGATTCATTTGTTTGGCTGCAAGGCTTAAACTACTTTGTAAGATAACATCACTTAATTCCTTAGGAAAGTTATAATATTCCCCCATAAAGACAAAGACTCTCCATATGCATTGTCTGTAACCTGAAGTCATAATGAAAATGTCTTGGTGGGATGAAAATAGGAGTTAAACCATGACATATACAAAGCAGTTTCCTCTTTCTTCTGTGATTTGTAAATGCAAAGAAATACAAGTAGCCTGCATACTCGGGTTGTAATTCCTAAGAAAGAGAGATGTGGGTGGGGTCTACTTATGTTCCAAGGAATGTCTGGTCCCCCCCCACCTCTTGTTCTCCAAAGGCTGTTATCTCTTTTTGTGTTATTATGGATGAAATTGGTTTAGAACATAAAAAAAAACAGGATGGCTGTTCCATCCTTGAACAAGTTAGATGATAACACATGTTGGAAAGTTTTTCCAAAGTGTGTCTGATTACATACCTTTGAATTCTGCTGGAAAACATGTCACTCCATTCAGAATTCTGAATTAAGATGCACTACTTTTTTTTTTTTTGCTGAAGGCTATTTTAAATTAGGCTAATAAATTGCTACTCTCTGCCTTGCGTGATAATGCATTACATTATCTACTGATGTACATGTATTGTTTGACTCTAATGGTGTGGAAATTAAATGTTAGACATGGGCCAGATGTTCCTATAGATGAATATGAAGTATGGTGCTGGCACGGGAGCATCTCACTGGGGCCGACAGGAAGAACGCAATAGCCAGCAACTGCAACAACCACCAGAAATGTCTTCCCGTATCAATCTGTAGCAAGAGCTGATAGTGCAAGGCTAGACAGCCTCCAAATGTCAGTAGTATTTGCATCTGCTCAAGAGCAATGACTGCCTTCCTAAAATAGAGAATGAAATAAAACTATGAATGTGAAACTACCGGGAGGGTATCCAGAGAGGGTAAATATTTGTCATCTGCATTTGACAGGCAGGCATCTTGGAGCATCTCTCTGTGTTTTGCACCTCAGTGTGGCAGTGAGATTTCCACGGGTCACTCCTCTGTTCTGCACAGTTCATGGCAGGGTAGGAGGGATATGAGACTTGGGGGAAGGGAAATGGCAAGCAAATGGGCCTCATGGTGAATTTTAATGAAGATTCCCTGCTGACTTTAACTCCATTGGAATAAAAAGGGAAAAGAGAAAGAAATACATAATCCCAACCCAGGCTAACTTACAAATGGGGCCATAATTCAAAGAGTAGATACATGTCCCAAGAAGATGTTGAGGGTGGGCTGTGCTGTATGGTTACAGCTGCTGTTTCTGCTGGTACAAGCTACATAGTACTAATATTCAGATAAACACTGACACAGTCTGCAGGGAAGGAGAGGAGGGAAGAATGGTATCACATCACCACAGTGAGAAATGCCCTTTGCAGAACTGTTCTGGGATAGATAGTGAACTTACAGAAACTTTGAGGTGGGGCCACTTCAGCTGTGGATAGACAGGAAAAGAAGGAGGTGGCTGGTAATTCTGCACTGTTTGTAATGTGCTTCTTGTACAAGCCTTAGGACAGCTCTCCAAACAGTTGCATGAGGCTGGGCATGCTGGTACATTCCTGTAATCCTAGTGCTGGGGCTGTAGGGACAGAGACATCTCTGGGGCTTGCTGTCAAGAGAGTCCATGTGAATTCTGGGACTTTAGGCTCAGTAAAAGACCCTGTGTCCAAAAAACATATATGGTAAAGAGCTGTAGACTAAGATAGCAGACGTCAATCTCTCTGGCTTCCACAAACATGAAACACTATGTGTGCATACCTGTACACAACATGTGCGCGCGCGCGCGCGCACACACACACACACACACACACACACGGGGCGAAGCATGCAGAGGGTAGTGGAGAAGGAACATGTACACACACACACCACACACACACACCACACACACACACCACACACACACCACACACACACACACACACACACACGGGGCGAAGCATGCAGAGGGTAGTGGAGAAGGAACATGTACACACACACACCACACACACACACCACACACACACACCACACACACACACCACACACACACACCACACACACACACACACACACACACACACACACACACACACACACGGGGCGAAGCATGCAGAGGGTAGTGGAGAAGGAACATGTACACACACACACCACACACACACACCACACACACACACCACACACACACACCACACACACACACACACACACACACACACACACGGGGTGAAGCATGCAGAGGGGAGTGGAGAAGGAAACCTGCCAGCAGGTTTAGTGATATAAGAAGAGTCGTAGAGAGAATGCAGTGTAAACTGAGAAAGCCTGGGCCTCTGTCTTAAACACTGTCAAATACCCTGCTGAAGACCAAGAGATATAACATAAAGAAGGAGAAGCCTGTACCCTTCGAGAATTATTTCAGCTTGAATGTTGCTGTCAGTCTTCCCCTCCTGTGTGGATTTGAAGGTTTCTTTGTCTTACATCGAAGGCTCTGTGTGTTTCTCTTCATCAACAATACTTCATTTCCCATCCACGGAATTAATTTCTTCTTGCCTTTAGCTAGTATCCTTTCTGGGTTTTAGCCAAATAAACTTGATTTTCAGGAGTGCCCAAATTTCAATCTTGACCTTTGCTTACTTTCTTATTTTTTCAAAAGTATGCTATTTTAGAAAAGGTATTTGAAACCCCTTCCTTATTCACAATAAAGGTAGATATTGATTTTTCCTCTTGTGTGAATTCTGTACACATACAAATATCCTACCTTCCCATCCCTACCTCAAGTGTCTATCTTCACATTTGTAAATTCTATTAACTACATTCTGGGCATGTTTGTATAAACTTGATTCGTGCACAGGAGGCTTAGACGGGAACACTGAGAGTTCAAGGACATCCTGGCATACAGCATGAGTTTGAGGCTAGCATGAGCTATATAATGAGAAAAAAATAATGTTTAAAGATAGGATTGCGTATATTCAGGATGATAAGGTGGCAGACAATGTTAAAAAATTAAAGGAAAAGTCTCACATAGATTACACTGGCCTCAAACTCAAAACCCAGCCTGGGATGGCACTGTACTTTGAGTTTCTTCCTTCCCCATCTCAAGTGCTCAGATTACAAGCATACACCACCACTCCTGATTCATGTGACTGTAGGGATCAAACCAAGGACATGGCACACGTGCAAGCAATAGTCTACCAACTGGGCATCATGTACCACACAAGGAAGAAAAGAATTGCATATTTAATATGATGTTGGTGTTTGTTTGTTCCAAGAAAATAAAATTTGTGCCATAATGCCTCCCATGACCAGCAAGATGCATGAGACTAGAACATGAAATCTGGGTAAAACTACTTTGGTGACCATTGGCTTTGAGGGGTTTCATTTCTGATAATTCCAAACAAAACTAGACAGGTGCTGCTTATTTTAGCGTTTTTTTAGGAGAGCAATTTACTTTGAGTCTCATTTTGTCTTCCTCTTATCATGTATCTGAAATAAAAATTCTTCTGTGTTCTAGGCTATTTTAATGTCCCAAGCTGTTACATTTGATGGGTTAATAACTGTATCATTTTCAAGTCCTGTGGAGGAGGCAACATCAGTGCTTCTCAGATTGCTTGTCTCTTTTCTGAACATAGCTTCTGCAGCCACATCAAGGCACTGTGACTGGTTCTACCAAATGGGCTGCAAAGGCAAGGCTTGTAATTTTTAAGCTAATGAAAAAGAGAAGAGCAACAAGGCCTATAGTTTCTCTCTTCCTTTGTGTTGATGACTTCTGAGACACTTATGAAGGTAAGAGAATTATCATGGAAGTCTTCTGGTCTTGCAGGAATGACATGAGGAAGGGTTCCATGAAAGACTTCCTAGTCTAACACACTCCATCACTAAGATTCTGGCTCTATTTGTTGTTACAGCAGGACATATGTGTAGCGATGTAATTGACTGTGTTTATTCCTCCAAACTTTCTCCCATTGTACTTTGTTCTTCAGCCTTTTCTTACACAGTAGTCTCCTCCATACAGCATCAAATGATGGCTAAAAGACAGACACAAAATGTATCAAAATGGGTGAAAAGGGAACTCATATTCCCAGGAAGAAGAAAAGAGGTAAATGCAAGTCCCAGTATCTTGGAGGCGGGGGGAATTTCAGGAGTCCCTGAGGCTGGAGGATGGAGACTTTTTATAGCTTTTTGTTCTTCCAGGGATGTTCGATGACAATCTTACATGATGATGAATATCACCAGAACTGTATCCAACTACACTGGAAATTGAATGTCTTAAAATTTAAAAATTTTAAATTGATATGACTTTTATGAAACTGTTTTCCATTTTACTTAAAATAAAAATCATTACTCTTCTGTGACATATATTGAGAGAAACTTAAAGCAAAAATGGGAAGTGAAAAATATAAATTAGAGAAGACAAAAGAATTTCACAATTGAGTGCTGAAATATATACTATAATTTCAAAGATTTAATTTATCTATAGGTATATGTGTCTGTGTGAATATACTCCCTGTGGGTTTGGATGACTATGGAGGCTAGGAGTAGGGGTCAGATCCATAGAGCTAGAGTTACAGGCAGCAGTGAGCCACCTGATGTGGCCGCTAGGAATAGAATGGGGTCCTCTTGAAGATCAGCAAGCACCCTAACCTGACAAATCTCACCAGGCCCTATAAATACTTTAAAAACTAGTTCGAAAGATTTGTTTATTTTTAATTATATGTATATATGTGTAAGAATGTGCATCTGAGTGTGGGAACACAAAGAATCCTGGAAAGGGCATGAAATCTTCTAGAACTGGTGTTACAAGTGGTTGTGAGCCACCCAACCTAGGTGCTGGGACCCCTAGGTGCTAAGCAGTCTCTATAACCCTACTAGATGCTGGATATGGCCTTTTCTAAGTAATTCAACATGAATTTACTGAGAGGGGAGAAAAGCAAGCATGGTGAGTGAAAGAACTGAAGAACATCTTTTGGTTTTTTTTTTTTACCAATTTTTTATGTAAAAACAAGCTTGCTTGACATATCATTCCCAGATCCCTCTCCCTCCCTTCTTCCCCTTCTCCCCAGCCTCCCATCAATACCTCTGGCCTCCCACCCCACCCCTCCTCCATGCCCCAGGGAGGGTGAGGCCTTCCATGGGGGATCTTCAAAGTCTGTCATATCATCCCAGGCAGGACGTAGGCCCTTGCCCATGTGTCCAGGATGAGAGAGTATCCCTCCATGTGGAATGGGCTCCCAGAGCCCATTGTATGCCAGGGATAAATAATGATCTACTATTCAAGGCCCTACATATTGCTAAGGGCTCCTCACTGACACCCATACTCAGGGGGTCTGGATCAGTTCTGGCCTCTCAGTCACCAGTCTGGGGTCCACGAGCTCCCACCTGTTCAGGACAGCTGCTTTTGTGTGTTTCATCAGCCAGATCTTGACCCCTTGCTTATCACTCCTCCCTCTCTGCAACTAGATTCCAAGAGTTCAGTTCAGTGTTTAGCTGTGGGTGTCTGCCTCTGCTTCCACGAGCCACTTGATGAAGGCTCTAGGATGGCATGCAAGGTAGTTGTCAATCTCATTATCAGGGAAAGGCATTTAAGGTAGCCTCCCCACTATTGCTTAGATTGCCAGGTGGTATCATCCTTGTAGAGCTCTGGAAATTTCATTTGTGCCAGATCTCTTCTCAAACCTAAAATGGCTCCCTCTATTATGGTATCTCTCATCCAACTCTCATCTCTTCTTCCCCTGACTCAATTTTCCTGCTCCCCCATGTCCTCCTCTCCCCTCCTCTTCTTCCTCTCTATTTCTTTTGTTTAGTCATATGATGAAAAGATACCAAAGGATCACTCAAAATTTAAAGAAAAACTAACTCAGGAATAGGTTATAGACATAAGGAAAGCATTTCAATTCAAGTTTTAACTTTGATTATCATTAATTATCATATATGAAAAATAGTAACTTTATTCCTCCTCTGAGTTTGTTGCTCTGATGAAATTTAAGTTGTGATGGTTTGTACTGTATCTGTCTTATTCTTTAATAGAAATCACTCCAATTGCTTTATCTTAGGGTGACATTTAAGTGATATATTTGGGTCCTTATATGATTGCTATTTCTCATTTTCTTCTGTATTTTACTTATTTATTTCTGTATATGCACATATGTAGGGGGGATGCTTGGGCCTATGTGTATATGGAGGATAGAAGAGGGTGTCCTGTCTCTCAGAACTGGAAGTTACAGGAATTTGGGGATGCCTGACTTGTGTGAGCACTGGTATCCAAACTCTGGTCTTCTTGATTGCACAGTAAGAGTCTTAAGCCATGAGCCATCTCTTCAGCCTTCAGTTCCTAAGGACGTGGAATCATTATGATAATTCATCAATTCACTGATTTCCCTTATCCTTCAAAGTTTCTTTTAATTAAAGTTTAATTCTATCATATTTTATTAATAAGTGATAAAAATACAAACTTCAGGAGGTAAGCTTAGGCCTGTTTCTGGCCCAACTTTCAGTGCCGTGCTCAGGGTCTCCTGAGGCCTGGTGAATGCACACTGGGGAACCCATCCACGGTCTGCCAATGTCCCGGAACTAATCCTGCTTCCACCCAGGGAAGAGGAGAGCCACCAGAATATTGGACCTGCTTGTACCTACCAGAAGGGAACCTTGGACATGTACTTACCAGGAGAGGAAGAAATTCCACCTACACCCACTGAAAGAAGGGATGGGAAGCAGACAATATAAAAACATATTCCACAACAGAAAAACCAATACGACTTCACCAAAGTCTAGGGACTATACACCAGCAAGACCTGAACATCCCAATGCAGATGAAACAGAAGAGAATGACCTTAAAAACAACTTGATGAAAATGATAGAGGCGCTCAAAGAGGATATGAGAAAATCCTTTAAAGAAATGGAAGGAAAAAAACACAAACAATACAAGAAATCAACAAATCTCTTAAAGAAAGCCCAGAAAAAATAACCAACCAGATGAATGAAACATTTCAAATCCTGAAAACTGAAATAGAGACAATAAAGAAAACACAAACTGAGGGAATGCTGCAAAGAGAAAAGCTGGGTAAATGATCAGGAACTACAGATGCAGGCATAAACAACAAAATACAAGAGATGGACGAAAGAATCTCAGGTGTTGAAGATACACTAGGAGAAATAGATTCATTGACCAAAGAAAATCTTTTTTTTTTTTTTTGGTTTTACGAGACAGGGTTTCTCTGTTTCGGAGGCTGTCGGTCCAGCCTGGCCTCGAACTCACAGAGATCCGCCTGCCTCTGCCTAGTGCTGGGATTAAAGGCGTGCGCCACCAACGCCCGGCTGACCAAAGAAAATCTTAAGTCCAACAAATCCCTAACAAAAAATATCCAGGAAATATGGGACACTGTGAAAAGACCAAATCTAAGAATAATAGGTATAGGAGAAAGCAAAGAAACCCAAATCAAAGATGCAGAAAACATATTCAACAAAATCATAGAAGAAAATTTCCCAACCTAAAGAAAGGCATCCCAATGAAAGTACAAGAAGCTTACCAAATAAAGTGGACCACAAAAAGTTCCATTGTCACATAATAATCAAAATCCCAAACATACAGAATAAAGAAAGGATATTAAGAGCAGCAAAGGAAAAAGGCCAAGTAACATATAAAGGCAAACCTATCAGAATTACACCTGACTTCTCCATGGAAATTCTGAAAGCCATAAGGTCCTGGATAGATATTCTACCAACGCAAAGAGACCATGGATGCCAGCCCTGACAACTATACCCAGCAAAGCTTTCAATCACTATAGATGGAGAAAACAAGATATTCCCAGACAAAACCAGATTTAAACAATACATAGCCATTAATCCATCCCTACAGAAAGTTCTGGAAGGAAAACTCCAACCCAAGGAAGTTAAATTCACTCACAAAAACATAGGCAATAGATAATCCCACTTTACCAACAGCCAAAAGAAAAAAGGGGTGGATACCTACACACAATACCACCACCACCAACAAAACCAAAACAAACAAGAATTAACAATCAATAGTCCTTAATTTCCCTCAATATTAACGATTTTAACTTGACTATAAAAAAAGACACAGGATAACAGAATGGATATGAAGGAGACAGAATCTATCTTTCTGCTGCTTACAAGAAACACACTCCAACTTCAAAGACAGACAGTACCTGAGAGTTAAGGGTTGAGAAAAGATTTTCCACCCAAGAAACAAATAGGGGTACCACACCTAATATCTAAAAAATTAGACTTTAAAATCAATCAAAAGAGATTAAGGAGGTCATTTCATATTCATCAGAGGAGAAATCCATCAAGATGAAGTCTCAATTCTGAACATCTATGCCCCAAATACAAAGGCACCCATGTTCTTAAAAGAAACATTACTAAAACTCAAATCACACATAAGATCTCACACAGTTATAGTGGGAGACTTCAACACCCCACTCTCACCACTAGATAGGACCACCAGACAGAAACTTAACAAAGAAACCAAGGAATTTACAGAAGTTATGACCCAATTGGGATTAACAGATATCTATAGGACATCCCATTCAAACACAAAAGAATATACCTTCTTCTCAGTGTCATATGGAACCTCCTCTAAAATTGACCACATAATTGGCAACATAGCAAACCTCAACAGGTACAAAAAATTATAATAACCCCTTGTATCTTATCAGACCACCATGCTTTAAAGTTAGTATTTTACAATAACACAAACTGCAGAAAACCTAAAAATTCATTGAAACTGAAGAATGTGCACCATTCCTAGGTCAAGGAAGAAATTAAAAAAAAGGAAAGAAATTAAAGACTTCCTAGAATTCAATGAAAGTGAAGACACAACATACCCAAACTTATAGGACACTTTGAAAGCAGTGCTAAGAGGAAAGTTCATAGCACTAAGTGACCAAATAAAGAGACTAGAGAACAGTCACAGTAGGGAATTAACAGCACACCTGAAAACGCTAGAACAAAAAGAAGCAAACTCACCCCCAGAGGAGTAGATATCAGGAAATAATCAAACTGAGGGGTG